GTGGTTTCACAGATTTAAACACAAACGTATTCTGTGTTGCATGAATCCACAAACTTTGTCTGGTCCAGTCTTGGCCCACACAATGCACCAACACTCTGCCCAGATTAGCAAAGAAGGACGGCCCTTTGGTGGAGCATTTGTGGTTTGTGAGAGGTGGTACATGCATGGGCCAGCACCACATGATAAAACCATAACTTTGGGCCAGTTGTGGCGTTGAAAGGTTTGGGCTACGTAAACCAAACCCCAACTGAGCCAATTTTGGCATTGACAGATTTAGGTCATATAAACCAAATCACAACAGTGTCAGTTGTGGCATTGGGAGATTTGGGCCACATAGACCAAACTACAACTGGGCCAGTTGTGGCATTGACATATTTGGGCCACATAGACCAAACCACAACTGGGCCAGATGTCGTATTGATAGGTTTGGGCCACCTAAATCAAACCAAAACTGGGCCAGATGTTGTATTGATAGATTTGGGCCATCTAAACCAATCCACAACTGGGCCAGTTGTGGTATTGGGAGATTTGGGCCCCATAGACCAAACCACAACTGGGCCAATTGTGGCATTGACATATTTGGGCCACATAGACCAAACCACAACTGGGTCAGATATCTTATTGATAGATTTGGGCCATCCAAACCAAACCAGAACTGGGCCAGTTGTGGCATTGGGAGATTTGGGCCACGTAGACCAAACCACAACTGGGCCAGATGTGGTATTGATAGATTTGGGCCACATAGACCAAACCACGACTGGACCAATTGTGGCATGCCATCTTAAAACCAGTTATCATCATCAGACCTGGCCCACATCCAGTTGACAAACCACTTGCTGTGCCAGCAGTCAGCTAGCAGGGCCAGCTTGACACCAGATCTGGCCCACACCTGTCTGTTATGTGGGTTGTTTTGCCCTGACAAAAAAAAAAAAACAATTTAATTTTTTCTTTCATTTGTTTGACGAGTGTTTTGTTTTTATTTTTAGTGTAAAGCTCAGACACTGTGACAACAAAAGTCAAGAAATAATAACAAGGAGACAATTAAAACACACCAAAGCATCTTAATTGCTTTTTTTTATTAAAGTGAAAGAGACTCATCAGTTTTTTCTCATAACACCTCATTGGTTCAGGCATCAAACATTCCTGCCAACCTACAAGTCTCAGCCCCAGCAACCTCACCCTCATCTGCAAAAACAAACAAACTGTGGTTTAATGAAGCGGCATCGGCGTGTTTAATACTCGGAGCAGCATTGGGCCGAGGCGACAGATCACTTGGATTTTACCACCAATGATATGATGTGTGAGAGCGGGAGAAAGGGGGGAGGAGGGGTTTCATATACAGAGCTGACAATTAGCTGAATCTGACTAAAAGAGAAAGATTAGGAGATAAAGAATGCAGACGAAACATGTTCCCCAGCAAAAGCACCTCACTCACCTGTTCCGGCTCGGGCCTGTACTCAGCCCTAATGACTGTGTGATTGGATTAGCCCGGCTTTTAGCAGCGCCGCAGCTGCAGCTGACAGAGGAGCTATCCCTGCTTAGGTCGAGCCGGGGTCAACGAGAGGCCAGCAGGGCCGTGACCTTCTTCTT